GATTATCGCTGCACTTTTCCAACCCCGATTTTCCACCTTCCTCTCTCTCTCTCTTTTTTTTCTCTCGGTCTCTCTCTCTGTCTCCCTGTCCAGCAGAGGAGTATGCGAGTGACCGACCATCGACCATCAACCATCGACCGCAATGACAAGCGTCACGAGATCAAAGCATAAAACCAAAATTAGAAGAAAACCAATGGCCATCCCATCCAGTAGAATTTAGCCAAGACCACGAACTCGTGCCTCACGTGGGTCTCGTGAGTGCACAGAGAGAAAATATATGCAGAAGAATTCAAAAATATATTTATGTATTATAATTTTAATCAGAGTCTTTACGATGTGAAGGAGTAATTTCCGACCCTATAAATGATATATATTCTTGATCAGCACCAACAGACGAATCTTTCTAGACATCTCTGGCAGAAAAAAATAATGTTCAAAAATTTTCAATTTTTTCAAATAAAAAAAAGGCGTGTAAAAAAATGGATGAAAAAATTTAATTTTTTACATTTTAAACTGAGTATGCAGATTTATTAATCTAATAAATACTAACATAGTACAGTTTTCCGAATTAAAATTAAATAATTTTTGTCTGAGTTATGAGTTTTTTAAACTTTGTTTTTTAGAAAGAATTGTCACATAAAAATATAGTTATTATTGCTTAAAATAATGGTACTATGACTTTAGTCAGAAGCTAAAAACTAAGTGAAGGAGTCATTTCCAACCCTATAGATCATATAGATTCGTGATCAGCAGCAACAGACGAATCTTTCTAGACATCTCCAACAGAACAAAAAATTTATCAATTTTTTAAACTTTTTATAAGGGGTTACATCGTTAAATTGTAAAAAAAAATCGAAATTGAGTATGTAGATTTATTAAACTTATTAAAACTAGCATAGCAAACCTTTCTGAATCGAAATTAATGTATTTTTGGCTGAGTTATGAGATTTTTAATCTTTTTTTTACTCAAAGAAAAAACTGTCTTAAAGAAATATTAAGAAATTTCTTTACCTTTCTAGTAATATAAATATATTTTAAAGCTCTCTAAACCTAAAGTAAATTTTCTCTCAGTGCTGCGTAAGTGCAAAGCTCTATTTATGACCCCCAAAGAAACAGGCATAGCCATGTTTCGGTTGCCTAACAAGATTTGTGTGCCATTTCGATGCCGCTTTTGGTAGCACCTTTTGGCCAAGGTCTGGGCTTCCTCTAGTTGGTTGGCCAGCTTCGTGTCTGATCTGTTCTGTGACAGCAGCCAGGAGCAGCAGCAGGCAGCAGCCACTGCTCTTGGCCAAAACAGAACACAACCAGAAAGCGGCTTTGGAAAATCAAGTGATTACTGTCTGGCATCACGAGTAATGAAACGTGACTCAAATCGCAGTTAAACACCGAGGCCAGGCGGCCATCTCCTATATATCTATATATAAGAGCAGATATATATATATATATATATATATAGACTCGATCCTCACACACGCAAACGCCAAACGAACGAGGTAAAACACGAGGCAACAACAATTAGAACAAGCCAAAAACAACGCCGAGAACAAGAGCCAGAGGGATACAGAGGCCATCATGGCAGTGAGACCAAGAGAGATCTCCTCCAGAGATCCCCTAGGAGCAGCTGCTGTAGGCTCTAGCCTGGCATCATCAATGTCCCGGCCATGTCAGCCATTTGGGTAATGTCGTCGCTGCTCGAATTTAATGGCCAAAAACAACAACAAAAACAAAACATAGGAGAAACAAAATCAACACACACTCTAGAGAGGCGAAAATAGAAGATACAAAGGATGGGGGGACAAGCCACAGGGGAATTCCCTGGGAGTAGGAATAGGAGCATGAGCTTGGAATAGGAACAGGAGCAGGAAAAGGAGCAGAGTAGGGGTAGAAATAGGAGCAGAAGCAGAAGCTTGGATCAAGGGAAGTAGAGGAGGTCCTTAATATATAAAAAAAATAGAAGTAGGAGCTATTTTTACTACGTTTTAGAATTTATGAATATTAAAATTGATCACCTATAGCTTAAATTTAATATATAAATTGAAAAGGAAGCTGTAAAGGGTTTTTCTGACTTTAAAAAGCCTTTGACTTGGTTTTATTTTGAAGAGATAAAGGGTTTTTCGAACTTTAATTTGTTAAGTTCTTGGACCATTAAGGAATTAAATCTTTCAAAAACGAACTCTTCCAAATTCTTCAATCTCTTTACAAACTCTTCTAAACTCTTAAATTTTTTAAATAGTCTCTCTTCTAAGTACTTTCAATTCTTCCATCTCTCTAAAATATATTTTTTCCAAGAACACATTTTCCCTTTAAAAATATTCAAGAGATTAAAGGAATTGTCAAACGTTCATCAACTCCTTAATAACCTTTCTCAACTCAACAATATCTTAAAAATCTTTTCTAAATTCTATCAACTCCTTTAGATATCTTTTGAATTCTTTCATCTCCTTAATATCTCTACCAAACACCATCACTACTTAAATATTTCTAATATCTCTTGTAAATTCTTTCATCCCTGTAAATATCTCTCTCGAAATCCATCCAATTCTTCCATCTCCTTAATAATATATCATTCCAAAGACAACACACATTTGCCTCCTAAAAGAGCAGCATCCAACTCTCTCCATTAAAACTGATCTCCTTGTTATGTTCATGTTCATTCCATCTTTTATTGACCTCGAGAGATACACCATTGGCTCTGCTGATGATCCCTGGCAATTATCTGTTTGGACTTGGTGTGTAATTGAATTGATTAGAATGGGATCAAAAAAAAGAAGGAAACCCTCTGACCATAGATCTTGGCCAGGGCACAGCTGGCCGTCCCATATGGATGATATCCATATCCGTTGTGTGTTGTGTGAGACCATTAAATCTTCTCAAGATTTGCATATGAAACAAAAGAGGCGGACATGCAAATCTTTTCCTCCTCGACTCCTTTCGTGCTGCTCTGGTTGTGCTCCTCCTTGGCCCAAAAGAGATGACACTGCCACGAGAGGCAATCTGCATGAGATACGATGTGGCGGTGGTGGTGGTGTATCTCTGGGAATGCGACACGACTTGGTTGGTGTTTGAAATATTTCACTTTTGGCTAGCGCCCAACACACAAACAAAAAAAACTAAAAGAAAAGCAAAAAAAATAGATATATATAAGAATAAATACAGACAATGGGCAGTGAGTGGCCTGTGGCTTTAAGACCGGCCTTCTGCCTGCTTCTTCTCTCGTTGGACACTTGGCTCTGTCTTGGTCTTGGCCTTTTTTCCTCTCCTTGGGATAATACATGATATTAGACACAACACCATAGACCAACTTGGAGGAGGCCTCAAAATGGAAAATTGCCATGCATAACATATTTTTCTTTTCCCTCTCCCTTGATTTTTTTGTTTTTTGTTTATTATAAAGACTTGCAAAGTGGAGGCATTTTCCTTGGACCACAATTTATGCAGAGCGAACGCAATTCAGTTTCGGTTTTTAGTTTTTCCTTCCAACTCTTGACTCCAAGTGCCTCCTCCTCCTCCATGGACCTTGGAGTGCTCCTCCTCCTCCTCCTCCTTCGCTTCCGATGATGGAACAATCGAAGAAGCTGTAAAGCTGAATCCCTGGGATTATGGATGAGCTGGGACGTACCGTTACAACTGTTTGGATATTGTTTGTGCCGGGGGAAAATTCGAGAGAAAAAAAAAGGTGGCTCTGTGGAGGAGATAAAACCACAAAAATTTAGTGTGATCCATGAGGCTGTGATCTCCGTTGTATTTGTGGCTGGATTTGATTAGATCACAAAGATGGATCACAAACATTAAACACAAAGATTGATGGCTCAAAAGTTAACTAGTTGTTGTTTGCCAGATTATCAAAATACCGATAGATATTTAATCTGCAGCGAAAAGCAACTGTTGTACATTTAGAAAGATACACTTTTTGAAGGGTAAGGGGTATAATAACCTTTTAAATTTTAATTCTAATATTACGGAAGGAACAGGAAAATCTGAACATGTTAGTTAGTTTATAGGCATTTCTATATGACAATTTTTGTGGATCAATCAAAGTTTAAAAATCTCATAACTCAGCCAAAAAAGCTTTAATTTTAATTCGGAAAGCTGTTCTGTGCTAGTTTTTATTAGGTTAATAAATCTGCATACTCAGTTTAAAATGTACAAAAATTAAAATTTTTGTCGTTTTTTTTTTTTAATTTAACGATGTAACCCCTTATAAAATTTTGAAAAAATTGATACCATTTTTTTTTCTGTGGGAGATGGCTAGGAAGATTGGTCTAATGATGCTGATCAAGAATAAATATGATTTATAGGGTCGGAAATGACTCCTTCACTAAGTTTCAAGCTTCTGACTGAAATTATAATACCCTGGAAAGGGTATAAAAATTTAACCTGACGGAGTGCGCCCAGAAAATGTTGCTAAACAAAGGTAGCCAGGAACATGTTGCATAGGTTTAAAAGAAGTGTGACAGAAGACTCTATAGCTTTTACTTATATTTCCCCCTTGTTTTCCTATAGTTTCCTTATTTTCCTTAATTTGTTTCTAATTAATTTTAATCTTTTTTTGCCTAGGTAAATTTTGCATATTTATCTTTATACTGTCACGGTCGCCAGAAGATGTTCGCTTATTTTATTAGTTTTGTGTTTTATTATTACTTGAACCCCTATAAGTTATAGGGTACTGTACATATCAGTTAATGGTTTTTGTGGCCTTAAGAAATACGGGTACCTTACACATCTATATACATATATTTATAAATATAAAGATGATATATGTATATACCTTTTTTTTTGCTGTCCACAAATACAATTAAATTGTGTTTAAGGCAAGAGAAACTACTTTTTATTGACATTTTGTGGGCATTTCTTTTGGGCTATTAATCAAAACTAATTTCTATTTATTTTCTATGACCTATTGTTAGCAAAAAAAATTAAATAAAAATAAGTAAAACATTAGAAAACAAGTCACAAACATGGCCAATTTGCTCATTTTTATTTTCTGCTTGTACTTTCAGTCTTTCAACAAGTCGAAGAAGTCGTTGAAGAAATCCCCCGGAAGAAATCGAAAGCAAAGGTGAGCAAAAAACTATTTATTTATATATTTTTTGTTTGGCTTTCAACAAATTTCCATTTCGCCAACAAGTTTTTGCTTTCGTTGAGGCTGCCGATGATGTTGATGATGATGATCTTTCTCTATATTTTGTTTAATTAGTGTTCCGCCTTTTCTCGATTCTTTGTGTTGTTTTTATTTTTTTTCATTTTTGCTGTTCTTTTTTGATTGATTTATGTTGGTTCTTCTTTTTTTATTATTGAGGCGTGAGACGCGTTTGAAACATTAACAAAAAACCAAGTACCAAGTGTTTGCCTGGGAAAATGCCAAAAAAAAGGGGGAAAAGATGGGCGGACTGGGGGTTGTGTGCCATTAGCAGCAACACGACTTTGGCTTCATCTGCCTCTGCAACCTCCTCCCACCCATCAAAGTTCTCGCTTTCACCGAATTCATTTTATTTTTTTATTTATTGAATTCTGTGCATGTCGGGCACGTTTTCACGAATCTAAAAAAACAAAAACCAAACGGAATGAAATGGAACGAGCCATGCATGTTCTGTGCTATACACAGAGAGAAAAAGAGAAGGAAATTTTAAAGATAGATTTGGGAAATAATGTACAGAAGCCCTTAAAAAAATAAATAATTAAGAGCAAGTTATAGTGCTCCCTGATATTAACCAACATTTAAAGAAGCTAGTTAGTTTTCTTTCTTAAAAACAATTTTATAAACCATTTCTTTATAAGTTTCTCTGATTAATTCCCTTTAATTTAAATTAATTGTCAGTTTCCCCCTTTTTCTTGCCGTGTGCTTTTGCTGTGTGTTAAAGTCAAAGTCAGGGCAATGTCTGTTGAAGCCACAAAAAGTAACAACAAAAGTGATAAATAAAATGGGCGGCGAAGAGGTGATTGCCATTGTCCATTTGCTGTTGCTTGTAGCTGCCTTTTTTTATTTTTTTGCTAGCCATCGATGGGTTTTGTTTTGGTTTTTATTGGCCATATATTCATTGGGCTTTTGGGCTATGACAACCTTAAAGGAAGAGCCACAAAAATAGAGACTATACTATGGAATCTCTCGTAGTTATTTTTGAGATTGTGAGAAATACCGAAAGATGCCAGTAGCGAGTAACGAATGACGATTTACGAGTAGGGACAACTAAGGAATAAAGTGGAGCGAATATACATTAATGAGAAGCTACCAGGAAATAAAGACTAACTAGTAGCAGCCACAGCCTTGAGATTTACAATTCGGGAGTATTAACTAATTCATAACAACTCAACTAATATGCATTAGCGAGGGGAAAATAATGATAAATGAGTAACGAGACACGAATACCGAATAGGAAGTAAAGTTCAGCGAGAGCAAACAAACGAGTAACAAATAACGAGTTACGAATAAGAAGTAAGGAAGAGCGAGTAACGAGTAGCAAGTAGCGAGTATCTAGTGCCACAATCTCTCGCCTGCTCCTCCCACTCGGCGGGAATAACACTGCTCCCGGCACTTCCCATTGCCAGAGCCGGAGCCGGAGCCTGAGTGGCATGTGAATGAGGCGGTTCCTCTCCTTCCCCTTCCTCGCACCGAATCCCAGCCAGAAATATTTGGCCCACAGATTGTCTGAGGTCGTGCCAGCAGCAGCGATGTGAGCATAATAAATTCTCTGCTCTTTTTTTTCTCCTCCTCCTTCACCAAGAGAGAAATGAAAATGAAAAGTTCTCAAGCGACAAAAACCTTTTGACAAAGCACGTACTAGAGGAAACAACAAGAAACGAAGGAAAACTGACAGGGCAGTGCAGTGTTGCATTGTGCATAATGAGCATTTTGGGTTAGGTCGTTCCAAATTCGAACAAAAAATAAAGACAAGAAGCCGCCTCAGTTGGCAATTAGTTTGGAAAACTTGGAAACCAAACACACAAATAGTTGTGGTGAAAACTTGAGCAGGAAAAGTAACACGTTTAGGAAATGGGTGACAGAATTGGATCAATCGACACTTGATTGAAAAGAAAAGAAAGTTTCAAGAGAGATATATATGTACATATAAAGAAGTTTAGGTTCTGAAATCTTTCTAAAGTTAGCTAAATAGACCAAGAGAACTGCTTTATGTTGACACGCAATAAAGAAAAAGTAAAGAAAACCGCAGATTTATGGCATCGACATCGACATCGGCACATTAAACAAGTCCCAGTTACACATCCAGTTTCCCAGTTTCTAAGTAATCAAGCTTGCACAGCATCTATAAGCGATTAATGGCTGGCATAAATACCCGGAATTCCATTCTCATTCTCATTCTCATCATTATGATTAAGAGAACGCGGCAAAAAGAAAAATTAAAGCTGGAAACGAGGAAGCCTGCAAGGCGAGAAGAAACCGCAGAAACTCATTTGCAGAAGGAGTAACCCAGCTACACAGAGGAAAATGTATTATATACTTAACAAATCCTTTAAAAAGTTGGCTCTTAGTAATAGTTTTCAAGGGGTAACTTGTCTGATAAACCATATTACTAGGTATCATAGTTAAAACGTGATTTTGTAGTGATTAAAGAAACATTTTCCATGTGTTCTGTGTAGAGAAAAAGGCAACAGAGAGATGCATTTGCCTGGGATTGGGAACTGGTTTGATTTAACTAACTTCCCAAACACCTCAGTTTCACAGCGGATGGACTTTGCATCCAATGGGGGAGAGGGAACAGTGTCCAAGATCGGACCCGGCAAAAATGAATATCCGCCTGACCCACATCCAATTCCAGCATCATGAACGGATTTGCATGGCTGCAGTCCGCCAACTGCAATTCAGATTGGTTTTTTTTTTAGGAGGAATCTTTTGACATGGCCACCAAAAACCGCCACTGGCGACGTGTCTGTATGTACACTCTTAGTGCAAGTTGGAGTTGGAGTCTCAGAACTTGGCCTACTTCCATGTGACCGCTTTCAGACGCTGTCTCCCACTTCTTGGCCAGCTTCTACTCCACCAACTCCAACTCCATCTCCTTCGACTTCTACTTCTCCTTCTCCTTTGCCAATCGAGTGTGATTTGGCGAGAAGAAGAACGCACTTTCCCAATCGCAATCGGAATCACAATCGCGCATCCACATCCACATCCACTTCGACACCTGAGTCGAGGCCTCTCCTCAGTGGGCCAAGTTTCGCATTTGGAAAAGTTTCACTTGGGGGCCCAAAAGAAATTTTGCCGCAAATCGTTGTGTCTCGTCCATTGATCGATCCCATGGGACAGACATTAGGAAAAAAGAAAAGAAGGCATAGATCGATCGATGGAATCTCATCCATCCACAAAAGACGACATCCACTCCAGATAATCGACCATCAATTTGGTTTGGCTTTGGCTTTGGAGATTCTTTTTAACCACTAAACTTGTTAAATCTTGGAAATCAAATGTTTACACAGTCAGAGACTTTCACAAAGTATTGGGTGATATATAGCTTATAAAAACAGAAATCAGTAATATATCGATAAATAACTATGATTATTTCGATAGGTAACTTGTATACAGAAATTTCTGTAACTTAACTCTTATAAATTAAATAACAAACTCTAAATTGCTTAAATGTAAATGTTTTTAATCTAAATTCTAGTTTTCCCATGGAAAAGAAAGTTTTAAATTTAAATCTTTGATAACAAATATCGATTAAAATGAAAGAGAAATACTTGTAGACAAGTAGAAAACATGTGAGAGTTTCTTAATTTAAGGTAATCCCTCAACATTAATGCCTTTCTCGTTTCTTGGCAATGAAAGTTGCCAAGAGATGATGAGATGGAATTAAAGAAAGGGTCAATTTGCAGGTGGAAGGAAGGCGGAACCCAGATGGTTGTCATTAGCACTCATCACACGGCCACATCGGAGATGGCCAAGGCAAATCAAATAAGCCACGCACCAGTAGTGAGTGGGCAGAAATGAGAATGGTTACAGAGAGATCTCTGTGGTTTCTATAGTTTTCCTTTAGTTTCTTTTTTTTCGGCACATAACAAGCCGCAACTAAATCGACAAAATCGGCTAATGCGACAGACGTGGACGTCCATTGGAGAATAATGCCATGCCATAGACTTGTTGTCCATTGTTGGCATTCCAATGCGTCTTCCTGCAATGTTGAGATGTTCCCCGGTTGCTGATGTTTTGCAGCCAGCAATTGTGGCATCATTAACATGCAACCAAGTGAGAGAGATGGGTTAAGGTTGCACTGTGCGAATGAAATGGGTTAATGTTGCAGTTCTAAACATTTTAGGGGATAACAAGTAATTTCGAGTCAGTCTAGTCTGATTATATAGAGAAGAGAGTTAATCAAGAAAAAGTCGGTTAAGTTGTGTTTTCAAAGAACGATAAGCTATTTAAACTGTAAGGAACTTTATTTAACTAATTTGATATAATGGAGATAGGAAACTTTGATTAAATCGATTAAATTATTTATCTAAGGAATACCGATATGTTTTATGTTCAAAGCAAATAATTTGTCAAATTTGTTCAATAAGATGTATGCAAAATGGGATTATTTCAATTCTGTCTGCTTAAATATAGTAATTTTAATTTGTATAACTATTCTTTTAGTTGAAAATACTTTATAGAAGTAGGAATACTTCTTTATAACTATTTACCTTTTGTTTGTGATGTATTAAATCAAGATTATAATCAAAATGTATCATAAGTCACTAAAAATGGTTTAATTTCTGTAACTTTAGAGTAGGATATATATTTTAACCGGGCTAATTTAAATATTACTTAATTTCTTGACCCTTTTTTTCGCCATGTGTAGAAAAACAAAAGACATTGGCATTGGGTAGAGACGTGAATTGAGCAAACAGCATTATCGTACGATCATCGCCGGTGGTTGGAGGGCCTCCTAATGACAGTGCCGGGCAACGCCTCCTCCTCCTAAACCGCCCCTAATCCTCTCTAGCTATCTATCCATCTAGCTCCCCCCTCTTAACCCTACACCCTCTCCTTGGTTCTACCAATACCAAAATCCCTGCTCTCTAAGTACGTGCGTGGCTTGGCAGATCTCTGTGTGGGTTGAGGCAGTG